GCCACTCACCTCAGGCCTGTCGATGGGCCCGCTCGTGTGGTTATGTGGTTGCTCCTCACGGCTCCCAGGGGCTGCTGTGTAGACGGGTGCTACGGCCAACAGGTCTTTCCCTCCTTCCGTCAGGGGTTAATTTGTTGGCTTTCGGTTCCTGTGCTGGAGCAAGAGCGTGTGGTCTCGTGGGGCGTCCAAGGAGGCAGGGAGTGAGAAGGTGCAGGACAGCGCCACGTGATTTGTGAGTGTCCCGCGTGTCAGGCGCTGCGGTGGGCCACCTACTCTGTTAGCGCCAGGCCTTGCAGCGCCGTGAAGGAGGGAGCGGTTCGCAGAGAGCGGTCCCTGGACCACCAGCCCCAGCATCGCTCATCGCTTGGGAACTGGTTAGAAATGGAGGTGCCCAGATCCCCCCACCAGCCTACTGACTCAGAAAGTCTGGGGCGGGGCGCCCAGCAGCGTCTGCTTTCCGAGGTCTTCTGGATGGTTCTGGTGCACACTCACATTTGAGACCCGGTGATCTTGGGTGCTGTAATGACCTTGGATGGCACGATGTGCTCAGGTGAATGGCGTTCACATCGTCTTGCTGGCAAGCTACACTGGGAAGCTGGAGCTGCATCTCCCGGTGGGCGCGGCGGGCTCCAGCTCTGACATGCAGGCAGGGTGCCCGCACTCCCTGACCGTCCAGGGCCTGTGTCCGCAAGGGACCAGTGTACTGAGAGGATGGGAGGCCTAGTGCTGCTCTGCAGTGTCAGGGAACTCTGGAGAAACGGAGCCATCAGGCAAGGAGGGGTGGCCCAGGTTAATGTCCTTAAGGACAAAGTATCCAGAGCTACGAGGCCTGGCTGGGTGACCTCCAAGGAAAATTCCCATCCAGACACAAATGGGCTTGATCTGGCTCTTGGGTGCAGATTTCTCCGTTATCTCCGAGAAATGTAAATAGTCATTGGGAGCCAAGCCAGATTCTCATCCTGACCCACTGAAAGCGGCCAGGCTGCTCGAGAGAGTCAGAGTTCAGGAGGAAAAGCTTGCACCCAACGGCACGACTTCTGTGCTTGTCAAGAAGAAACAGGGAAGGAGGGAAAGGGGGGGAAGGAAGCCAGAGAAGGCCTGAAGGGAGAAGGACCTACTGGATTCTTGTGACTTTTTGGTGCTTATTTGCAAGGCAGGTGTACACATGATTTCTAATTGAAAAATGGTTCTAACTGACAATCTACTTGAAACAGGTCAGTGAGTATAATATTATCACTTACTCTGTAACTGAGAGTAATTCTCAGGTTTGGACATTTTTTGAAAAAGCCCTGAACAGTTCAGGACACAAACCAAAACATAAGTGCCCCCGGTCAGTGGTGAGACTGGAGGAGGGTGGAACGCAGCCTGGAAAGCACAGCTCTGGGGAGACAGGGTGGGCCCCGACCTGGCCCGTGCCCAAACTGTCATCTTGGGCAAGTTAATTCTCCGCCCTGTCTCTTGAGCTCTAGCTGGAGTACAGGTGACTGGCTGGCCAGGCTGGTTGTGAGGACTGAGTTCGTGGCTGACTGAGCGGTCCTCACTGGCACCCGGCTGCTGGGCCTTTGCCCCAGAGGGCATTCAGCGTGGGCCAAGGGGATGCACCCCCCCCACGACACGGTGCGCGATCAGTTACGACTGCTGTCTCAGGCCTCGGACCAGGAGCTGTTGGAGTAGCCAGAGGTGTCTTTGGGATCTGGCTACGGGGCTCCCAGGTGAGCACTCTGGCCATCCGGGGCCTGGTTATTCTTTTTGGTGGGGATGTCCAGTACGCTGTGGGACATTTAGCAGCATCCCTGCCCCGTCCCCAGGAGCCGGTACTCCGCACCCCCAACCCCACGGTGTGACAGTATCTCCAGAGTATTGCCACATGTCCCCAGGCAGGGAGTGGGGGCCAGGTGAAGTTGAGTTGGGGTTGTATTCCTTCGGATTTAGGTGGGTTAAGTTGCTCTGACACCCTGCTACGACACGGGTGAACCTTGAGGACATGACGCTCTGTGAAACAAGCCAGTCACAGGAGGACAGATACTGTGGGATTCCAATTACATGAGATACTTAGAATAGTCAAAATCATAGGAAGCCAGATAGTAGCGGCCAGGGGCTGAGGTGGGGGTGTAATGGGGACTCAGCGGTATGGGGACAGAGGTTCAGTTTCACAAGATGGAAAGAGTCATGGAGATGGACAGTAGGGCCACGCGACATTGGGGATGTAGTTAATACACTGAACTCTACACTAAAACGTGATTACTATGGTAAATTGTATGTTATGTGTATTTTATCACAATGAAAAAAACCTTAGGGGCGCCTGGGTGGCTCAGTCAGTTAAGCGTCTGCCTTCGGCTCAGGTCATGATCCCAGGGTCCTGGGATGGAGCCCCACGTCGGGCTCCTGCTCAGCGGGGAGCCTGCTTCTCCCTCTCTCACTCCCCCTGCTTGTGTTCCCTCTCTCGCTGTGTCTCTGTCAAATAAATAAAATCTTTAAAAAAACAAAAGAAAACAAAAAAACCCTTAAATCAGTTGGGTATGTTTGTGTGGGTTCTCTGGTCTGTCCCACTGTATCTTGAAACTGGGCAGACTGGGGCGCCTGGGTGGCTCAGTTGGTTAAGCGACTGCCTTTGGCTCAGGTCATGATCCTGGAGTCTCGGAATCGAGTCCCGCGTCTGGCTCCCTGCTCAGCAGGGAGTCTGCTTCTCCCTCTCCCACTCCCCCCTTTTGTGCTCTCTCTCAAATAAATAAATAAAATCTTTAAAAAAAAATTAAAAAAAAAAGAAACTGGGCAGACTGATTCCTCCTACTTTATTGTTCATCTCAGAGTTGTTTTAGCTACTTGCTTCCTTTGTCTTTTCATATAAATTTGAGAATAATCCTATCTCTATCTACAAAATGTCTTGCTGGGATTTTAACAGGAATTGTGTTAAGCTTGCAGATCACTCTGGGGAGAACCGGTGTCTTCCCCGGGTGCTGAGCCTCCCAGTCCAGGAGCGCTACTTGGTTTCTTAGAGCTGCTGTGATTTTCCTCGTTGGCACCTTGTGTTTCAGCACTTAGATCCCTACATCTTTTGTTAGATTTACCCTGAGGCATTTCATTCCTTTGAGTGATTGTGATTTTTGATTTCAGAGACTATGTGTTCATTGCTAGCTTTTAGAAGTACGTTTGACTTCCATATGTTCATGTTGTGCTCTGAGCCTCGCCGAGCTCTGTTCTGGGTTTTAGGAGTTTTTGTAGACTCCTTGGGATTCTCCAAGCAGACAGTTATGTCATCTGCAAGGAGGGGCTGTTCTGTGTTTCTTTTCGGACCCATGTGCCTTTTGTTCCTTTCCCACATCTTTCTCGCCGTCTGGGACTCCCAGCACCATGTTGGATAACTGGTCTGAGTGGGTGTCCTGGCTGTATCCTGATATTAGGAGGGAGACGTTCAGTCCTTCCTGAGTATGATGTTACTGTCAGGTTTTTGACATAGATGCTCTTTATCAAGCAGAGGAGGAACCCCCCATCTCTATTTTTCAGAGGGCTTTTATTATGAAGTAGTGTTGAATTTTGTCAAATGCTTTTTTTGTACCTATTGATATGATCATGTGATTTTTCATTGTGCTAACAAAGGATGGTTGATTACATTGGTTGACTTTTGAATATTGACCCAGCCTTGCATCCCTGAAATACTCCACTTGGTCATAGTGTGTATATCTTTTTTATATGTTGCTGAATTCTATTTGCTAACATTTTGATTTTTGTATCTATATTCATAAGGGTTATCGGTCTATACTTTTCTTTCTTTTTTTTTGTACGGTCTCTGGTTTTGGTATCAGGGTAACACCAACTTCATAAAATGAATTAGTAAATGCTCCTCCTTCTTCTTTTTCCTGGAAGAGGTGTGTAAAATTGGTGTTAATTTTTCTCTAATAAAAGTTTGGTAGAATTCTCTGTGAAGTCATCTGGCCTGGAGTTTCTTTTCTGGGAGTTTTTAAGTTACAAATTCAATCCCCTTAATTGTTAGGGGGCTGCTAAGTGGTAGGTTGTGTGTTTCCAGGAAGTGGTCCATTGGGTCTAAGTTTTCAGATTTATTTATGCTATTACATGGTTTTAATAAAGAATCCATTCTTTTTCATGGATTTTGTGATGTATGTGGAATTTGACAGTTTTTTTTTAAGATTTTATTTATTTATTTGTCAGAGAGAAAGAGAGAGAGAGAGCACAAGCAGGGGGAGGGGCAGAGGGAGAGGGAGAAGCCGGCTCCCCGCGGAGCAAGGAGCCCTATGCGGGACTCGATCTCAGGACACTGGGATCATGACCTGAGCCGAAGGCAGATGCTTCACTGACCCAGGTGCCCCTGAATTCAAAAGTTTTTACAAAATTTGTGATCTGTTGTGACTTCTTTCAGTCTAAATAAAAATGCACTTTTGAATGTAGCCTTTTGTGATCATAATTGTACGTATGTATCTTTTTCTTAAAGAAGCCCCCTCCCCACATTGGGTAAGAGCCAGGAGCCAGATCTGCCCACCAGAGAGACGTGTTTTGCCTTTACGTGAAACGTCAGTTGTTGGAGTGAGTTTGGGTCTCGCGTGGGTTAGGTCTCGCCGGGCAGTGGACAAGCTGGGAATGCCTTGAAGTGAAACCCTATATGGAGAGCATGGAAGGAAGCATGTCAGCCACATTGATTTCTGTCTGATGTGACACCCAGTGATGGCTCTTCATGCTTTCCTCAGCGCCCACCGTACTTACGCTTGCTTTTTCAGAAGGAGAAGAGAAAGAGAACAGAAGAGACACAGAAAAGTCAGGCTGGGGTGCTTGGGGTGAAGAGCTGGAAGGCCGTCTCTGGCGGGTCCGCGGCCTGACCCCGGGGCTGCTTCCAGCGTTCCCACACTCTTACCACCGCCCTCCCCCAGGACAGCTGATGTATTTCAAACAGGAAACTCTCTGCAGATAAGGCTGCAGACATCAGCCTGATTTGCTGGGCAGCCTGACAGCCCAGGCCGTGCTCGCCTGGCCTGTGGGGCTCGGCGGCCTCTGTAAATAGCAGCCATGAGGCTCCCGGGCGCAGTGTTCTCGCGGGTCCCCGACAGTCAGGACGCCACCTTCGCCTGACGTGCGCTGCAGGTAGGGACACTCTGCCCGGTGACCTGGCAGCCTCGGGGAGCAGGGCGGGGGGGCCGCCAGTTGATGGGAATACACTGAGCTAGGAAGGCAAGGTTCCAGACGCGGCCAGAGGGAGGACTCAGGTGGAAGGGGGGTGGGAATCTGTTCTTTGGTCCCCATGAAGGATGGGGTCTGTCAAATGGATCTGGCTCTAGAATTCCAAGGTCTGATTAATTTAGGGGCTCATGGTGGAAACTTCGTGGGGCTGGCTCATGAGCAGGACTCATGAGGAGGAGCCTTCTCAGCTCTGCACAGGGTCCAAGAGGTGCAGCCATGTTTTCCCGAATCCCCAGTCCCCGTGTGTAAGGTGGCCCTAGCACCCACCACCTGTCCCCGGGGAATGTCCACCACCTGCGGGTGGGGCGCCATGGGCCACATCAATAATCTGTACTCATGGCCCGTGGCTCTGTTCTGGCTCAGTAATGTGGCAGGACTGGAGTGGGGGCCTCTGGTCTCCCAAACTGGGTAAGACTTGGTGTGACAGGGGCCCTTCCTCCCCCACTGGCTGTCACAACTGGCCAGCCTTCCAGGCTGAAGTCAGGTAGCACTTAGGAATTTAAAAGGCGAAGTGGGAAAGCCGCCGCACGTGCATGACAGGACTTCTGATCTGATGGGAAACGCTCTACTTGGCCGGGCAGAGCCGAGCCCGGGCTTTCACCGCGAGCTTTCAGCGCGTCTCCAGCTCATCTGCGAGTTTGAGAAATCTGGAGGCCGTGAGAGGACAGACAGATGGTTTGTGGAAAGCTAGGGGAAGGGCCTCTTCCTCCTTAGTGTGTGCCCTTCGGGTGGGCCCTGGGGGAGACCCCGTGTCACTCTGGGGAGCAAGCAGCTGGGCAGGGAGGGGGTGTCCATCCGTGGAGCTCTCTGGCACTTCCAGATGTGGTTCTCCGGCTATAAATGCTGCGGATGTTTAATGAAAATGTGGCATTGTGAGTTTGGCAAATTATACCACTTTTTTTTTTTAAGATTTTATTTATTTATTTGACAGAGAGAGACACAGTGAGAGAGGGAACACAAGCAGGGGGAGAGGGAGAGGGAGAAGCAGGCCTCCCGCCAGAGCAGGGAGCCCGATTCGGGGCTCGATCCCAGGACGCTGGGATCATGACCTGAGCTGAAGGCAGGCGCCCAACGACTGAGCCACCCAGGTGCCGCTATACCACATTTTTTTTTTCATTGTCTATTTCATTCTTTTTTTTAAAAAAAAAGAGAGAGAATTTCATTCTTACAATGAACTTCTACTAAGAATTCCAAATTGAATTTCCCCTGGGAAACCCTGGCTTCCTGCGCTGAAGGGAGGGTGGGAGCCTGCTGGTCTCTGGCTGGATCAGGATGTGGTTCTTATAGAGGGCCCGGTGGTGGGCCTCCGTTTACAAACAGAATTCCTCTCCCATGAGGACAGGGAGGAGTTGGAACTCCCCGGGGCAGGCCCCCCCTGCCCCCCACCCCAGGGCTGCCCTGCTCTCTGCCCCCGAGATGCAGAAGGCGAGCAGGCGAGGGCCGAGGGCCACAGGGAGGAGTTCGGGCTGCGTCTTGTGCGCCTTGTGCGGGGCTCTCTGCTGGCCCTGCACCTCCTTTCTTGGGAGGTGGCGACCACTGTCCCTCGAAGCCGAAGCTGTGTGTGGGAGCACAGAGTCGTGCTGAGCAGAGTGGCTGTGTCCTGACTCAACCATTTCTAGCTGGAAAGGAAACTCCCAAGTCAGCTTTTGCCACCTGAGACATTTAAAAAAATCTAAACCCCATCTGCATCCACAAACACCAAGAAGCAAGTATCTGTAGCCTCGAGCCCAAATGTAGTTGGATAAAATGTTTATCATGACTTTTTAAAAATTGAGATATAATTGACATACTACATTATATTATCATTACTGTTAAGAGCTACATTCTGGAGAAAACCCACATTTGCTTCCAAAGCAGCAGCTCAGCTCATTTCGGTGAAAGACACACTGTGGCAAACAGGCCCAGCTGCTCCTTTGTCGGGAAACCCTTAGGCATTCCAGGACCCAACGGCAGGGCCAGGACCGACTGTAAGGCCATCCCACACCGGCCGTGCATCTGAGGCGCCGGCCCCGGGAGTCCCATGTGAATCTGGGCATGAAGAGCCCTTGAGGAATGAGGAAAACCAGTAGCTGAAGACAGCATTAAATTCCAGGTGTTGCCGCTGTGAACTTGTCTGTTCATTCATTCCTTCATGCATCCTTTTGTTTGCTCAGTTCAGTGCCTGCTAAGCTCCTGCCCGGGGCCCCCAGCGCTTTCCCAGCTGCAAGTGGTGTTCACACGTGACCCACTTCCAGAGCAAGCCACTGGCACTGGGACCCAAGGCCCAGCGACAGGGGAGATGGGCAAGAGGCAAAGCTCATCCCTGCAGACGTGGGCGAACTTGCAGGTCTTTTTCCTTCTCCTTGGAGCTGCTCACTTGTGCGAGCACAGGCAGGCCGAGCGCCAGCCGGGAGGTCCAGCCGGGAGGGACCCTGGCCGTCCAGCCCCCAGCGGCTTGGGCCTCACCACCGTTACAGTGAGAAGCCAGGTCCAAGGTGGTTTTGGGAATTAAATAAGGTCTGTGTGTCCATGTCCAGCAGTAAATAGTGGCTCCTTTTCTCTCTCCCACACGTGAAATAACACGGTGAAAGCGCACGGCCATGGTGAGGTAAGGAGGTGGGTGGGTCAACTCCGGGCTCGGTACTCTGAGGCTGACAGGAGCAGAAGGGAGAGGTCAGGTGCGTCAGGAGGCCCCAGGTCCGACCCCACCTTCCCCACCTGCTAGTGGGGTAACGCTGGGCAGCTGACTTCATTTCCCTCACCTCTGGTTCCCTGACCTGTGAAATGGACGCGATGTGCTGACCAGGGCCGGCCTTCTGTTGTCCCCCGTCGAGGGGAACTGCCTGTCACAGTCCTGTGCTGCCGCCGAGCGGGGCTGGGTCCTCGCTGCAGGGTGTCCCAGGGCACACGCAGGTTCTGCCTGCGTCCATTTCATGGAGAAACTGCAGGAAGCCGGGGGCTGGGCAGAAGGTCTCGGTTCAGAGGCTCTGGCTTCCTGCGCCTGGAGCCACCACGGACCGCGGCCCTGTGTCTGGTGACAGCAGCATCACAGCCGTCTCCGGTGAGCACGTGCCCCTCGCGGGCCTCTCTGTGCTTCACTCAGCTTCTCCTCGAACTGGCCTCACAGGCTCTTCCCTCCCCTCTAAGACGACACAGGCCGGAGACAGACACATGAGGAGGCCAGGGCGCTGGTCCCCGGGCTTCCAGACGCACAGCTGTCCCCAGACCCTGCGCCGTGTGGACATCACAGTCTCAGGTGGGGGCTCTCTGGGTGCTGCTGCCAGGACCTCCTCACCGGCCCCGGGGGGAAGAATCGGCGCGCCTGATCCCCACGGGGACGCAGGGCCAGCTGTGTCCTCCTGTGCCTTCCGGCTCCGTCCCCGTGGCACACGCGCGGGGGGCGGGTGCTGTCTCAGCGACACAGATAACCGATGAGCTATGGCTGCACGTGAGCCCCACAGCCTGATGCTGAGTAGAACGGGCACGCTCAGAGGCTGCACACACAGCTGGTGCCTGGGAACGCTCCAAGGCAGGCAAACTGGACAATATTTTGTTAGGAACACACTGGTGTGTAGGAAGGCTAGGAAGCCGCAGGAGACACGTGCTCACAGCCCAAGAGTGCAGCTTCAAGGGCTAGGGAGGGGTCCTGGGCCCGGGGACCGCGGGGGGCCAGCCCATCCTGGGGAGCTGGCTGGGCTCTGCCATCTGTTCTGGGCGGCGTGTCGGGGTTTCCATAGCACCACACACGTGCCTTTGTGTGTATGACATATCAGCCACAGAGAAGTAGAGGCAAGAATCTGGCGGCAGCCCTCAGGATGGGAGTCCCAGCGTGGCTGGGCAGGGAAGGCAAAGGTGGGCCCCCGAGGGAGAGACCCGAAGGCTGGGAGGGGCCCCCGACAGCTCCCTGCGCCCTGGCCCCGGCCTGCATGCTGTCACTCCCCGGCCCCGGTGTCTGAGTTCCCGTCACTGAGTCCCCTTCCTTGATGCAGGAGCCAGCGTCCCGCAAGCGCTCGTGATGAAGAGGGATCTGGCTCTGATCGGCCTGGCCTTCCTGTGGCTGCTTCCTGCGGGACATGCCCAGCAGACGGCGGAAGAGGCCTGCTCCCTGCACATTCTCGTCCCAGGCCTCAAAGGTAACCTCAACCTCGGCCTCCTGAGCGCGGCTGAGGCCCGAGGCCTGGTGCTGCTGCCGGCTCAGGGCCTGAGCAAGGTGTGCCTCAGTTTCCCCATCTGCCAAATTCAGGGTGGACTACATAATGTCTACACTCTCTTTGGCCAAGGGATTCTGTAATTCTGAAGCTAGCCACTTATCGGCACCTCAGCCCACAGGGACCCCATAAAGGCCGCTAACATTTGTTCCAGGCACCACACATACTATACCTCAGATAACTTTCAGGATGAGGTGATCTCATCTGGTCCATTTTGCAGATAAGGACATTCAAGGCTCAGGGACATTTAGCGACATAGATAATCGATGAGTGACCGAAATTGGGTCACATAGCTATGAAGCCCAGGCTCTTCCACCGGGTTCCTGAGAGCTCTTAATTTCTTCTTTAAAAAACAAACAAACCCCAAAAGCTTTTCTCTTGTTGGCTTTCCTATAATTTCCTTCCAGGGACAGCTTTGCTCTGCAGAGCAGATGTGGGGGGGGGGGCACTAGCCCCCGGGAAAGTATCAGCCCTCAGACTGGCATCTTCATTTAGAAAAGTCCCTGGTTTCTCCATAGCACAGGCAAGAGATTCCAAAACCTTGTAATTCCCAAGCAGGATCAGCTCCACAATTCGAGGGCCCAGTGCAAGATCAACGTGGGGACCTCTTGTTCAAATGTTATAAAAAAACCTTTGAAACAGGGACAGGGACATGCCGCACGTGGGGCAGGTGAGCTTGGGCCTCCTGCTCTAGGAGCAAGAGGCCAGGGTGAAGAGGGGCCGGCCCGAGATTCACTCCCCAGATTCTCTTCTGCCCCTCCCTTCCCACTCGGCCTACATGGACCCGGCCCCAGAGCCTGGTCTCTGCCAGATGGGCCTGTGGTGGGGATGCTGCCAGGTCTCCTTATGGAGACGTTGGAGGAAGCCGACTGACATTTAGGGGCTATCGACCCGTGATGAGAATGACTGCCACCCAAGACAGAGCCGGGCGTCTCCGGAGACCAGACCTTTGTGAGGCAGTGGGGCCGGTGAGGGCAGGTTCCAGCCGGGGGCGGACGAGACAGGTGGCCTCAGTGAGCAGGATGGGGGGTGGGCTCCTTGGAGGACAACAATGCCAATGAGGACCCTGCTCCCGAAGGCTTGTCCTCTAGCAGGTGAACAAGACATGTCCCCAGGTTGTGCAGAAGCCGTGTGGGATGTTTTGGGGCCTCGGAGCATGCATTCCAGACACCCTGATAAACAGCAACATTGTTCAGTAGTCTTGATGGCCACAGTCTGCCCACACCAAAGGGACAATTCCAGTGGAGTAACTTTTTTTTTTTTT